TGAGCCGAAGTTGGATGCTTAACCAACTGAGCCATCCAGGTGCCCTTAGAATTATGTTTTAACTTTAAACTTTTTAAATGTTTATTCATCTTTGAGAGAGAGAGAGAGAGAGAACAGGAGAGGGGTAGAAAGAGAGGGAGACACAGAATCTGAAGTGGGCTCTAGACTCTGAGCTGTCAGCACAGAGCCCAACCCAGGCCTTGAACTCACGAACCATGAGATCATGATCTGAGCTGAAGGAGATAATGACCTGAAATGAAGTCAGATGCTTAGCTAACTTAGCCATTCAGGTACCCCTGTTTTAACTCTTTTAAAGCTACACTTAGTGGTGTTTTAAGCTGCGTGCATCTGCCGTTCCTACACACTCCAGCAGGATATTTTGGTAAAATGTGCTTTTTACTTCCAGCAATTTAACTGAATAAAAGAGGAAGCTATTATTTATACAATTTAGTGATAAAATTCTGTGTTAGAAACAGCTTTGTATGTGTGTGTGTGTGTGGGGGGGGGTGGAAATAACTTAATTAATTGCCTTTACTGTATTAAGACATTCATAGACTTTTAACATAACCCATGGCTCAAGAGAGGTATGCATCCATGGAACACTGAGGTCATTGCTCTCTCAGTGCCTTGGTAATTGAATGTTGGCAAGGCATGAAATCTCTCTAAATCACAACCTTTTTATTTGTAAAGAAGATAAAAAACATTCCAGAAACTTGCCTTACAGATTTGTGAAAAATCATATTAAATCAAACATACATCTTTAAAGTAACACAAGATAAATAATACAATTGAATAAGATTTAATTCTCCTTCCCTCACAGGAACATTTGCTCCATTCCTTTTGTCCTCACTTTAATTCCCTTGTTCATTTGCTAATAAGATTTTATCCTATTATTCCTGAATATTTTTAATAATCAAAGAACTGAAAAATCAACTTTTAAATAAATTAGTAGAAAGCTTATACGACACCAATGAATACTTCATAAGATAATATAATATTTACTTTCTAATTTTTTTAATGTTTTATTTATTTCTGAGAGGGAGAGACAGCGTGAGCAGGGGAGGGTCAGAGAGAGAGGGAAACACAGAATCTGAAACAGACTACAGGCTCTGAGCTAGCTGTCAGCATAGAGCCTGACACGGGGCTAGAACCCACTAACCTTGAGATCGTGACCTGAGCCGAAGACGGTCGCTGACCGACTGAGCCACCCAGGCGCCCCTACTTTCTAACTGAAAAACACAAAATTAATTACCCAGAAAATGTTCCCTTTCGGACTCTTAATATTATGTAGAATATATTTTCTTTGACACAAATTCATAGACTAGAATATACAAATTACAATCTGGTGAGGAATATCCAAAAGAATACAATTACATTAACAGAAAGATATACTTGGTCATGAAATTTACTTAGAAAAAAATCTTATTAGCCTTTAAATGATGCTAATTTTCAAGACTTTGAAATAGTATACACCTGTCTCTAATTATACCACTGTAACCATGTTTCTTTGAATCTATTTTCTTCTAAAAATAAAATGTTACCTCTGTGCAGTGGAATACAATCATTGGTATTGTTTTCATTAAAATTGACATTGACCTTGTCACACACTAAAATAAATCTTATATGAGACAAATAAAATTTCAATATATTTCTAAATTGGAGGTAACTTTAAATGAGAGAAATTAGGATACAGTAAATCAAGAATGAATCAAGACTTGAAGGAAGTGCATAAGTCCCCTCTTAAACAATATGCTGAAATCTCATACACCTTGCTTTAATTACTGAGTTTATTCAGGGAGCAGTTTAAATTTGAAACTATACTTCTTAATATGTATCTACTGTTTTTTATTATTAAAGCTGTCTAGTCAAAACATCGTGGTAATTGTGTATGCCTTAGAAGGCTGTATGGCACTTTGAATAATAATTATATTGTTAAATGAATAAAATAACATAGCACCAAGTACCAAATTAGTGTTGTGGGTCATATGCATTATTGATAGAAGAAAAGATTATGGATTAGTGGACTAAAAAATTGATGGGGAAATTCAGACTTTGGGTTTGAAGAATTAGAAGGGACAGAATCATTCTAAACAATATGCAGAAACATTAATTATAAGGCCATTTTATGGAGGCAAGACTGGACAAATAATATTCAGAAGGTATAGAATCAGCCAATTCTGCTGCCATAGTTGCTCTTAGTATATAAGACCTAAGACCGTAGTAGGGAATGAAATTTTCTTGCCTTTAAATTAATATGAAAAATGCCTAGGTGCATCTGATAATTATTAACTTGGCATGTAAGGAATTCATTTGCATACATTTTGCTTATTTATTTGTAATTGAGCAAATATGTTACAGAAATGTTGGGGATTGACATTTTGTGTCAGATTCTTCTTAAAATAACAGGTAGAGCTAGCAAGTCAGGTTCTGTCTCTTTCACATGTGCATTATGAAGCACCATCCTGGTGACAAATGAGGAGAAAGGCAGGACTCAAAATTTGAGTCCTAGTGACTACTGTTCAGTACTATTTGTACTATGTAGTACCCAGTATTATCAGTGAGTTGGTTTCTTCTTGGAATTAGAATATGTTTTACATAAACATGTTGGCTTCGAAGTCATCTAATGACATTCTGCAGAAAATATGTGTAGTTTGAAGAAGCAAGTTCTAATGTTCATATTTATAAAATCTTAACCAAAGTATAACACGATTCATATGATCAATTACTGTTATTTACTGTTTTTGAGATCCTTCAAGTTTCCAGCTATAGTTATGGTTTTGAGATTGCCATTATTGAGTGTCAGTTTTATCTTAAGAAATCTACTTATATCATCTTTTATACTTCTATGAGAAAGGAATTGGCTTCCCAGTTTTACAGCCAAGAAGGGCTCAAGGAAGGTAGACAACTTCAAGGGCCAAGGTGAGCTGGAGATTGCTGAGCACCAGATGTCACAGTAGCTGATGACACAAGATAAACTGAAACCTTTTAGTCACTTGGTGCAAAAATATAAGCCAGAGGCTAAATAGAGGAAGTGCCAAATCCCCCACTATTCCTTTTTTCTCCATCAGTTGGCACCAGTCAAGGATCAGACAGATCAGCGCAGACATGGTGGATTGCTAGCGTAAATGAAGTAGCTGTCTCACTCCCACGAGAAGCTGAATAGAAGGATCCTGAAGTTTTATGGACCTGAGGAGGAGGTCAGGGCTAAGTGTGGCAAAGTAGTAAATACAAAGTCCGGAGGAAAAAAAGTGTCATGTCCCTCCCTCATCCTTCCCCTTAAAGAGGTCTCAGCAGAGGTGCCTGTCACAATTATCTGACATTGGTTCCTGATGGAGGGAGTGCATAGAGGGGCTGGGTAGTAATATAGATAAGAGCATGGCTGGTCAAGAGATCTTGAGTTCTTGACTGCAATGATCTCCAGAAATGGCCATAAAAGGCAGCTCTCCCTTGCCAGCTCTGCCAGACGAAACTTTTGTAACTGCCTGTGGTCAGGTCTGAAAAACCACACATAGATGTTTTGACCAGGAGCCTGAGTCCTCAATAATTTTGGCATAAACCAACCCAAAACTTGTACCCATATGGCTTGAAAAAAAAATCCCATTTTCTTCTATTCAAGATTGACGTCCTCATTAAAAACATTTTTGTAAGTTAAGTATAACTTTATTGATTTTCCTATAATCTCTTGGAATGTTACCATTCCTTACTAATAAAATATATGCTTGGAAATGTTTGTTGCAACTTAAGATAGAAAACAGAGTTGGAGGTAAAACCATGTGGTAGTCCCATAAGCCGCTTAAAAAATGATGAAGCAAAAAAATGATGGGGGAAGAATTCTTCACATGAGACTCAAGTCTTCCAAGTGTGAGACTTGACAGCCATTGGGTTCTGCTGCCTGGATGTACCCTAAACATCACTGATTTCCAGATATAAAACAAACCTAGATTTTACTAATGATTCATTCATATCATGTCTTTCTACTTTGTCTAACATATCTGTATATATGTTGCCTTAGCTCCTTCATGAAATTCCAAGGTCTTTGCTCACTGGCAGTGCTTAATTCATATTTTGTAACCATATAATAACCAAAATGATATCTTCATAAGAAGTTCCCAACAACTACTCTTGAGTAGAGTATGCTAAGCAATCAATAAAATATAGAGTTTCATTGGTCCTTGAGATCGGTGCCCTTTTTTTGGTACATCCACGTGGCAGAAGAAGATAGCTGTCCATTAGTGGTCCAATCTTGACATCAGAAATGAGTAAGTGACAAATTGTAATCAAGGGCTCGAGATTAGCATGGCAAACCTGATAGGAAGTTCAAAGGAATAAATTACTAATTAGAAATGAAGGTTTCAGATTGAGATGCATTATAAAATTAAAACTTAAATTTCATTGGGATTTAATGTTACCCTTAATGGACTAAAGTGATTTTAAATGTCCTTTTTGGCATCTCTTTGCACATTAAAAGTAATATGGCCGTCATTCATCTTTGGTTAATCTGAGGAAGTAAAATGATTATACTTTGAAATTATGTTTTATATAGTAATTTTTCTTTAGGCATAATTTTAAAGATGGAGCTGCCATCCGTGTGTTTCCTTTAAGCACTTTTTATCATTGTGGTCATATTTCCAATTAGAGTGTAACATTTCTACCTTAAGAAGTCCTTTAACCTCATCAGGGCTTACTGATATTTTAAATTCAGTTTGTTGTTGTTTTGTTACAAGTTCCCACAACTAAAATATTCTCCATAACTCAAAGCATAGAGATTGTAGATTTTCAAATCCAATCAGTTAAATAAAAACATGTTCGAGGAATTAACATTTTTTGACTGCCTTTCACATGACAGTGTTGTGTTATATGAAATTGTTTCCTTCAATCATGATATTCTTATTCAATAAAGAAAGATGTCCCCCCCCCCATTTAAGTATGAGAAATGGAGACTAAGAAGACAGATTTAACCAAAATCATACAAAAGGGAGCTAGAAGTAAAATCAGATTTGGTGCTTGCTTAGCAGTGCATAATATTAAATTGAAACGATACCGAGAAGATTAGGATGGCCTATTGCAAGGATTACACACAAAAACAGGAAGCATTTCATTAAAAAAAAAAAAGCGCCAGATTTCTTGGCTTCAAAATCACACCATTTTCTCTGTATGGGAATGTTTCTATCCACATCTAATTTTTCCTTGTGTATGACATTTGAATTAAAAATGAGTTAGGGGCACCTAGATGGCTCAGTTTGTTAAATGTCCCAGCTCAGGTAGTTCACTGTTTAAATTGGTGAGTTCGAGCCCCACGTGGGGCTCTGTGCTGACAGCTCAGAGCCTGGGGCCTGCCTCTGATTCTGTGTCTCCCTCTCTCCCTGCCCCTCCCCCACTGGCACTCTGTCTCTCTGTCACTCTCAAAAATAAATAAACATTTTAAAAAATGAGTTATTTTGGGGGTGCCTGGGTGGTTCAGTTGGTTGGGGAGCTGACTCCTGATTTCCACTCAGGTCATTGTCCTGGAATTGTGGGATCAAGTCCTGTGTGGGACTCTGCACCAAACAAGGAGCATGCTTAGGATACCTCCTCTCTTTCTGTCTGCCCCCTCCCCTGCTCATGCTCTCCCTCTCTAAAAAATGAAAAAAGAAAAAAGAGTTATTTTGGCATATGTTGCCATCTTAAGACTATCCTCAAGTCTATACTGATACTATCATAGTATCAGCATAAATTCAGAATTTTTATAACAATAATTTATATTTCAGATGTGAATTTACATGTTTTATTACATATAGAATCGAAATGGTATTATTTTGTCAAGTCCATTTTAATATTCCAGAAAAATAATTTGATAGTATCCCAAGTTATCAGGTGGAAAATTATTGGTTATAAACAATTTATACCTTAAGTTACTATAGTAATAGATATGATATATGGTGAATTATCAAAAATTAATTCAGTATAATAAACCATTAAGATTTTGAAGGTCAATATTGGCACAAAGGTACCTGATAAAATCACATCTCCTAAAATTATTGTGAAATACTGCTATTAAAAACGGTTAAATATGGTGGGGCTCCTGGGTGGCTTAGTCAGTCAGGCGTCCGACTTTCGCTAGGGTCATGATCTCGCGGTTCGTGGGTTCGAGCCCCGCGTCGGGCTATGTGCTGACTGCCAGCTCAGAGCCTGGAGCCTGTTTCAGTCTGTGACTCCCTCTCTCTCTGACCCTCCCCTGCTCACGCTGTCTCTCTCTCTCTCCTAGAAATAAACAATAATAAAAAAAAAACATTTACAAATAAAACCGTAAAAATATGGAAAAATGGTCAACTTATTATGACTTGAATTTGCATATGATTAAAAAGAACTTGTTGAAAGCTGTCATTTCCATATGGTGCATATTTTATTCTGCTATCCCACTAATGAAACATAGTGCATGCTATTGACAGTCATAGTAGAGTTAGAATGTCAAACTGGTGTTTCCTAACACAGCTCCAACTGTAGCAGCTGTGATGCTGGCCAAAAAGGCCCCTCATGCCTCACATGTTATTCACCACAACATGGGCTTCTCTGTCTTTTCCAGTCTAGACGGCATGGGACTTCTGTATAGGGTTGGAACTCAATTTTGTACACAACAGATATATCAAACTTATATATGTATATACCTGTATGTATGTATGTGTATGTATGTATGTACCTACATATATGTGTATGTGTTTGTATATATATATTCCCCAAGGTGCAAAAAGTAGATCAGAAGTGAGAATACTTATTTTAATCTTACAGTAGTATCCCCCTTTTCATGTTTTAGATGCTTAACTTACTGCAGAGTAGCAGATGACACTTTGTTTTCACAAGCAGTGCAGTTTCCTATTTTGTGAAATGGACCTCTGTAAGCACTTTAATATAATGAGCATACAAAAAGTAATTAACTTGCATTGAAGGATGAAAGTTTTTAATGTGCTATGGTTGAAAAAACAATAGACACTTTAACTATAGAGAACAAACTGATAGTTATCAGAGGGAAGGTGGGGGGTGGGGTATGAGTGGTCTAGCAGATGGGGATTAAGGTAGGCACTTATCCGGATGAGCACCTGGTGTCGTGTGGAAGTGTTGAATCACTATATTGTACACCTGAAACTAGTATTATACACTTTGTTAATTAACTGAAATTTAAATAAAAAAGTGGGACAAAATATAAAAATAAAAAGTATTCTTAAAAAAAAGAAGTAAAGAAAACAAAGGGCAAACAACAACAACACAATAGATACTTATTGCAATAAATCTGTAGCTCTACTCATGTTGTTAAGCAGCTTTTAATAAGTGTCTACATATGGGAATGAGATTATAAAAATGATGATATTTCATTATCATCTTATATATTTCCTTATATCTTAAATATAATATTTATATTATAAAAATCATCAAATTTGAAGTGCACACAATTTTGCATGCTTTCTGATTATTCTCTAAATTATTACATCAGAAGATATCCTGATTTTCAATCTTTAAAACAAAATTTAAATATATAGAAATACACATGAAGAGAAAAATTAAAATAGCAAAATAAAAGTACTTATCCCTGGATTTCAGAATTGAAAGTCATTTAGGCTTTCAAAACTCAGCATGTAGTCCTATTAATATAAAAAAAAAGGGAAATCAAATTTAGTGTAGTAAATTATGGACTAGAGGTCCACACTTCAGTTTGGCAGACAGGGGAAATTCAAAATATGAATGGAGTTACTGATATTATCCTTTAGTAATTGCTTCAAATGCATTTTCTTAATTGATAATAACTATCTTATCTCTTATGAGGAAGCATTTATCTTCCCCACTGCCATTGTCTTATGTAAAATAGTATGTAACCAGTATTGGAAAATTTCACTTTTGTAAATCCATCCCTGTAATCTTTCTCATCACTTAAAAATTTCTCTTGAAAATTGAATTGCCTAAGAGCTTATGTGAATTTAATTAAAGAAAAATAATAAATCTGAGATGTATAAGCAAGTCCTTGGGAGTTTTACCATGTCCAATGTCTCAAATATTGGAGAAATAAAAGTTCTCCAAGCAAAGGGTACAAGATATTCTGCACAAATCTGCTCTTAGAGGCTCCACTTAATAAAGAAAAGCGATAGCCTTCTTTAATAGAAATAAGTAGATATCTATCATTGACATGAAATACTGTATCATGCCAGAAATCAGTCATTTGGGATATGAAATAAAATACCATGATTTTATTATTTTTTAATAAACTCTGTCTCACACACACACACACACACACACACAAAGCTGAACCTAAAACTAATTTATTTTATTTTTTATTTATTGTCATGGTAGTTAACATACACTGTAGTCTTGATTTTAGGAGTTGATTCCCATGATTCATAATTTACATAGGACACCCAGTGCTTATCCCAACAAGTGCCCTCCTTAATGCCCATCACCCATTTTGCCTACTTTCCTAAACCCTCACCCTCATCAACCCTCAGTTTATTTTCTGCATTTAAGAGTCTCTTATGTGAACCTAAAACTAATTTAAAGTAAATCATTTCCAAAAATTACACAGGAAATGATTTTACTGATAACATAACACTTCACTGTAATATTCTGACAAACAAGAATTTCATTCAACCAATATAAAAAATAAAAATAATCTGTTTTTAAAAATATTTTTATTTATTTCTAGGAGAGAGAGAGACAGCGTGAGCAAGGGAGGGTCAGAGAGAGAGGGAGACACAGACTCCGAAATAGGCTCCAGGCTCTGAGCTGGCAGTTAGCACAGAGCCCGACGTGGGGCTCGAACCCACGAACCGCCAGATCATGACCTAAGCGAAAGTCGGATGCTTAATCGACTAAGCCACCCAGGCGCCCCAAAAATAAAAATAATTTTAATGAACAATAAGCATAATATATTTTATAAAGAGCCCAGATACAATATTTCAGATTTAATTTTTTTTTAGATATTTATTTATTTATTTTGAGAGAGAATGAGCAAACAGGAGAGGGGCAGAGAGAGATAGGGAGGGAGAAAATCCCAAGCAGGCTCCATGCTGCCAGTGCAGAGCTTGACATAAGGTTTTACTCACAAACTACAGAATCATAAACTTATGCAAAATCAAGAATCAGAAGCTTAACTGACTGAGCCATCCAGGCACCCCTCAGATTTCATATTTTTAAAATATATTATCATTTGGTGGTCATTTATTTAATTTAATACTACATAAATGTTGAAATAAAAGTGGAGTAATTGGAATGAGTATGTCTGTAGTGATAATTTAAAAAAATTTAAAAGCAAAATAAAAATTCACCTTCTAATCATGTTTTTGTCATTGTTGTTAGTACATTTGAGAATGAATGGTATTCATTAATATCATAAATTTTTAACTGGATCTAATATCTGATGAAATAAAACATGGATCAAAAATGTTGAGAAAATTCCCACTGTCAAGGATGAATTCCAGATATAATCTCAAATACAACTGTGCATGTGTGTGTGTGTGTGTGTGTGTGTGTATTTGCATATAATTTTAATGACCACCACCCCTTGTGATGCTTGATATTTCTGTGAGCCTATGGGAGCCTAGGGAAACTCTAGAAATAAAGTTAGAACAGGACCGAGGCTTTCTGTCTCAAAAATCTATTCATAAATTAAAAAAAGAAATGTTTAGTGTTGGCCTAAATAATATTTCTCATGTTGAAGACACCAGTGTCTGGGTTATATGTATTTTCAATTGACATTATATTGAAACTTCATAATTTTGTTCTTACATTTGTGAATACATCTTTCCTGTCTTTGCTTTTATTTATTTTCCTTGACTTACTGCACCTTTTAGAAACTCCAGTACAATGTTGAATGAAAATGATGATAATAGGAATTTTTCTCTTCCTCAAATTTCAAAAGGAAGCTTTAAGGGTTTGACCCTCAAATACGATGTTTGCTCTAGGCATTTTGAATACTTGTTGGCAGATAAAGGAAGTTTATTTTATTCTGAATGTCCTAAAAATGTTATCATCAAAGATTCTTTTCTATCAAATATGTTATTTTTTTCAGCAGTTATTGGAATGGTCTTATGAATTTTCTCTTTTAATCTTTTACTGTAAGCTGAATTTTATAATATGTACCAACTTTGGTTTCCTGGATAAAGCAAATTGGGCATGATTTATTGTCATGGCCAAGATATTCCTTATCAGATTGAGGTAATTATCTTCTGTTCCTGGTATTCAGAGAATTTTATCATTAATGAGAGTTGAAAATTGCCCAGTATATTTTTTTTTCATTTATTAAGGTGATCATACTATTCTGATAACATAGTATTTTATGGTGTTTAGTTTTTAAGGTTCAAACTACCTTTTCATTACTGAAATAACTCTGTTTATTCATTCTATATTATCTTTTAATGTATTGCCATTTATATATATTGCTGCTTTCAAAACTAATACTTTAATAGTTTTATGTTTATATTTATGAAATGCTATAATTTTCTATTATAGTAATGTTTTTTTTCATGTTGTGATATCAAGTTTGTCTGTACCCATAAAATATTTTGAGGTGTGCTTTCTTCTGTACTTGTGGAAGTTTGTGTAAGATTGGTATATTAGTTCATGCCTTAGTGTGCCTAGGATTCACCACTGAAAACATCTAAACTCTAAGCTTTCTTGGTGGGGAAAGATTTTGACAACAAACACAATTTTTGAGAGATGTAGAGCTATACAGATTTTCTATGCCATCTCTCGCTGATTGAGTTAACACTTATGCTCTATCTCACCAATCACCAGATCATGACCTGAGCTACAATCAATAGTTAGATCCTTAACTAACTGAGCCACTCAGGTGCCCCAAGATTTTTTTGGGTCATTCCTTATTTTCCTTTGAATCTTTGATCCTATTTATCATAGCCTATGTAAATTCCTTATTTACTTAATGCAATAGCTCCATCATCTAAGTTTAGTTTTGATTGACAGATTTTATTTTTCTCTTGAGTTTGCTCATGTTTTTCTATTTGCTTGTCTAGTTGATTTTTAATTGGATAGTGGATAATAAGAACAATATGTTATGGACACTCTGGGATCCTTTATTCTTTCTCTGAAGAGGGCTCATTTTTTTTTTTCCTTCTAGTAGGCAGATTATATGATTGGTCTTGAATTCCAACCTCTCTTGCCTTAAGCAATAGTGGAAAGTTCCGCTAGTTTCTTTTATATGAGTGTAGTTCAAAATGGAAGATATTAAAGACATTTAGATGTAGGAAGAAATGGTTAGAGAATGTAGCTGAAGTATTAAAAACAGGTAGTTTAAAAAAATAGATACTGTAGCATTCAGGGCAAATATAAAAAGTCAAAACTGGGACACCTGGGTGGCCCAGTCAGCTGAGCATCTGACTTTGGCTCAGGTCATGATCTCACAGCTCGTAAGTTCGAGCTCCCTATTGGGGTCTGTGCTGACAGCTCAGAGCCTGGAGCTTGCTTCACATTATGTGCCTTCCTCTCTCTCTGCCCCTCCCCTGCTCATGCTTTGACTCTCTCTCTCTCAAAAATAAATAAACATTAATTTTTTTTTAAAAAGTCAAAACTAAGGCAGTAGTAGAGTGAAAAGTGGTGTGTGTGTGTGTGTGTGTGTGTGTGTGTGTGTTTAAATTTTTCCAGCCCAGCAATTCTTTATCTTCTTAGATAACCATCTCTCCATGACTATGTATCTGCGGGTCTTGATGAAGCTGACTTCATCCCTAGTTCTAGATGGGGCACATATAACACCGTCTATTCACCAAAACATGTACTCACCATCAATCCCAAGTTTGGAATGAATGGGTAAATTTTTTGAGCTCTTTCTGCTCTACTTTGCATAGATTTATAAGGATATACTGCTGGGGTCACACCCTGAGAAATTCTATTATGGGAGCCATCATGTTGATATAGTTAGCCTGAAAATGAATATATCATATTAAAAATCAAATAGAGGTGTAGAAACAACAAAATGTAAGATTTTCATGACATCCATTGATATCGAGGATCAATTTGTACCCAAAGCTAGAATTTCCAGGTGCTAACTTTGATATTAACAAAATACATGAGAAAATGGAGGAAGGGTAGGGCAATGAAAATTCCTGAGCAACATTGTAATCAAAACAAACAAAAGTAAAGTGGAAACTGTCCCTGATCAAATCTATACATTGTCATAACTAGGAGTTGAATATGAATACAAGTAGCAGAAAACTCAAAAAACAATGCCTTAAACAAGTTAGGATATGTTTTCCTTTTGTAACCCAAGTCAAGATTGTGCAGGCTGGAGACAGAATGGTTGATCAAGTGTGGCCTCAGGGACCAGGTTCCTCCATCCTTCAGTCTGTGTATTCCTTTGTGACAATGGTTGCGTTTGAACATCATGTACACATTTTAGGCGGCCCACAGACAAAAAAAAAAGTGGAAGAGGAAGTGCCAACAAAATTCCTAATATCTTGTTTACATAACTGAATCTTTTAGCTAATTTTTAAGTTTTGCTTCTAGATCAAATAATGCCATGAAAGAAAGGGCTTGACATGAACACTGCATAAGCCAATAAATTAGGGCTTTTAATTAAATTAAGGCTCTGGATAAAAGAAAACGTTTTAGAAAGAATGACAAAAGGAATATGAGAGATAATATGGCTAAGAAAAGTAAATATTTCCTTTTTAGAAATGAAGGGGAACTTTATTTTTTCCACTAAGAAAGGCCAAAAGGCAAAAGTATATGGAGTGGGTCTTAAAAATTATTATATGTTAGGGGCGCCTGGGTGGCTTAGTCGGTTAAGCGTCCGACTTTCGCTTAGGTCATGATCTCGCGGTTCGTGGGTTCGAGCCCCGCGTCGGGCTCTGTGCTGACTGCCAGCTCAGAGCCTGGAGCCTGTTTCAGTCTGTGACTCCCTCTCTCTGACCCTCCCCTGTTCACGCTGTCTCTCTCTCTCTCCTAGAAATAAATAAAACATAAAAAAAAAAAATTATTATATGTTAAAAATTGTACCTGGAAGATTTTTACTGTGAATTGCTTTATCCCGTCACAAGATCTAATAATCAGCTGGACTGTAAAAAGTAATCTATATTTTTAAGAAAGCACTCACTGAGATTTTGATACAAGTGATATGCAAATTACATTAAAAACAAGAGTATATTTTAAACGAGAGAAGAGAAGATATAAGAGCTCATACATTTTCTCTATAAAGTAGATAAAAAGTTTCTATGCCTATCAGGATAGTTTCATGAGTGAGATTTAAGGCTTGAGGAAAAACGAAATGTGAAATCCACAAAATGAATACAGCTTTGATTAGATTGGTAGTGGGCCAAATCAGCCTGGGTCCTGTTTATCTAGCCAATGCTTGCCTAGTGTCAACTTCCACAAAAAAACAAAAATCAAAATAATTTACTGTAAGGGCATTGTTGGACTACAATAATACAAACTTGATATCTCAAATATCAGGTGATGTATCTTAAAGAAATATAAAACAAATAAAATAGTTATAGCTTTTAAACTTAAACTTGTTTATGCGTATTCCTAATGTATGCTTTTCCCTGCAAACTCCATAAATTTTAAACAGTGATGAATATGTAGAGTGTTACCTTTGGCAATACATGTACTCAAATTGAAACGATACAGAGAAGATTAGCATGGCCCCGCACAAGGATGACGTCATGAATATGTAGCGGTCTCAACATGGGCTTCACAGATACAGTCTTGGGTTTTATCCCCTGATGAATGGATTAAAAAAAATTGAAAGGAGCAAATTACAGAATTATTCAGAATTACCAATCCACATTAATAATACTTTTAAAGTAATAAATGAAAAAGGAAAATATCACTTTGGTAAAGTTACATTTCATTCATAATTTAAGTATTCATGATTTCATTCATGATTTAAGTATTGAGCTAAGGGAATGCAGGACATGCACTAGGCAGCTGTGTGAAGACTGGGCTCTACCACTGTGAAGTCTTTCTCTGCCTTTAACTAGATGTCTGGTGTAGACTGAGATTTGGAGCCCCTTTTTTCATTGTAAAATGAGGATGGTAAACTTTTTACACATGACATTAGGTTTGTAGAGTGTTTAGCACAGTTCTTTCCACTGTTTCTAACAATAAAGTAATAAAATCTGAAGATGCACTTAGTAAAAAAAGAAAAAAGAAACAGAAACAGAAAGCATGAGAGAGAATTGTTGCTCTTTTAAAAGTCCAATTACCAGAAGAAGTAAGAGAATATGATTGCTGAGTGGCAGATACAATCCAAACAATTTTAAAAGGTGGCTTAATAAAATAATTTTGACAAAGGAAGCTAAGCATATTAAATTAAAAAAAAAAAAAGTATTGCTATAATAGCCTACTAAAAAGTTTATATATACATGATTATGGAAAATGTTGATGGTACTGGAAGTATACTGATAGTGTAAATATAGGAGCACTGAAGAAGTGGAGAATATTTGTACCATTTCATTATAATGTTTATTTGACATAATGAGGGGAATTAATACCCATTTTCACTTATTTTAACATTTCTTACCATGCTACATGGATCAATATGCTTATAATGAAAAATTAGTAATATTTTTATGAGATAACAAAAGTATTGTATGACTCTTTAAATATTTTTTATGTTTAAAGATTTTGATATTCAAAGAGGCAAAAAGTTAGAATCTTTTTACCCTAGATATAAGTATAATATTTTATTTTTTTATGTAGGCTTTGTGTATAAATCTGGAAGAAAGGATTATGTGGATTCCTAATTATTCAGGAGGCTTCTAACCCCTTTATTTATTTTACCTGATCATTTCGTCTTGTTGATTGATTACAGTTTCTATTATTTCAGTGAATCTCTCTAATTGAGGTTCCATAAGAGATAGTAATGACACCTGATTGCAATCCTATATATAAACTGAAGTTCTCTTGTACTCCAATATTTTTGATATTGTCAGCCAGTAGATGATGAAGAGGTGTGGATGAATTTGGAGTGATTGTGAATACTTAGTCCCTGGGAATAAATTTATTTTAAATATAATGTATAATGAGTGGAGTATAGAAATGGTTTGCTGTCAGAATATAGGTAAAAGGTTTATTAATGAGAATAGGTTGTTGGAATATAGTCATAAATGACAATGATTGTGATTACTTGCAATTTACCAGAAAGTTCATGTGCTTGTATCAGGCAACATAAACATTTTTATTCTTAGTAACCAGTGAAGCCGGTTGACCTGTGAAATGGAATTGAAGAGTAGAGAATGGAATACAAATCCTTTCCAAGGATCTGATTTCAAAATCTGTGTGTCACTCTGCTAAATTACTTCTTTATACTTATATGTTAATAAATGTCTGTTTTGTGACGGATAGTATCCTAGAAGATTTGCCGATCTAAACTTATTTAATCAAATAAATTCAGTTTTACTGATCTTATTTTAAAGATGAGGAAACTGAAATTCAAGGAGCCCAACTTTCTCAGGATCACATAATTGTTCAACATCAGACCATTTAGTCTTACCAGAATAAGACTGGGAAGTTTATCATAATCCATACAGAATAATTAAGCTTTTCATTATACTAATTTTATTAACTTGATTTTTTTATAATTCTGAGATAAGATAATTACTAAATAGGAATGTCAAAATATCATGGAAAAGATTAACCCTATCTAGTATAAAAACCACACTGTGAAAATTCCTACTTTAAGGGGTTAAAATAAATTGAAAGCAAGAGTATTTTTAAATAGCAATTATCGAATATAAACCCATACCATTTTTTTAAATTTAAGCACTCAGGTATTTTGTTTCTTTAAATATAAGAATTTGGAAATGTAAGAAATAAAGATTAAATAACAAAATAAACATAAAAAATGATTTGATTAATTGGGCAATGATATATGAAACATAAATGAGCTACATTAGGAGTTCATGTTTTGCATATTTTATGTTTGTTTCTATTCAAAGTCTTCACAGAAAATGAATATTTTAAACATGACCTTCAGACTTAATGGTATTTTCTGCATTCTCTATACTTACATTGTTAGTCACAGACCAAATATACTCCAGAAAAGTTACATATGAAACAAAATTTGTAACTTTTCATTTAAAAGATGCTGAGGGAATGCATTCTTTAAAGGAAAACTCAGATGAATATTTTTGAAATGCAAATAAAACTTATTGCATGTGGATTTACCTACATGTTTTCATAAACTAGATAATATTTGAAGACATTATCAGGGATTTTGTCTTCTGGTCTCCCTGTTTTCCCACTCTACTCTGTAGTCTTCCTACCCCAGGGCCTTCTTTTTCATCAGCATCAGCATCCTGTGGGCACTTACATGATTAGGCCACCATGTTAAGTTTTGAGAGCATTATAAGAGATGCTGCATTAGTGAATTGCCACTTAATTGGTTTCGGTTTCTAAGAAATTTTATGATTATATTTGGACCTCAATAGATATAGTTTCCTTTAGACTTGGTTAAAAGATTTGTTAGTACCAGGGTGCTTGGGTGGCTCATCCAGTTGAGTATCCGACTCTTGAATTCGGCTCAGGTAATGAACCCAGGGTCATGGGATCGAGCTCTGTGTTGGGCTCCATGCTGAGTGTGGAATCTGCTTGAGATTCTCTCTCTCCTCTCTCCCTCTGCCTTTCCCCCCCACTTGTGTGCTGTCTCTCTGCCTAAAATAAAATTTTAAAAAAATACTAAAAAAAAGGAAAAAGAAGATTTGTTAATACCTTTTTGAGCTCCACGCTTCTTTGAATTTCAGTATTCAGTCTTAAGGTATAATTGTTAAACTATTTAATATTATAATAATAGAACACCAATAACAGAAATTTATGTTACAATTGCAGTGTTACAGACATATTTGTCAGTTAATTTAATAATAGAATCATTGAACCTTGTAACATCATTAGTATTATAATATCTCTAATATTCTCATTTTGTAGATGATAATTCTGAGACAAAAAGAGATATGGGACTTGCCTTCATCAAATAATTCTTCCTTTTAGTATAGATTCTACTTCAATATCTTTTCCTACAGACTGTTAACCTAAACACTGTTAACCAGTTTTTCAATTCACAAGCAGAAATTCCCTCTGAAGCTTTTATATATGCCTTATATGCCTTCACTGAAGTAATGCCCTAATAAAGATATCATGTCTTCACTGCTTCGAATCTCTAAGTGAACTACATGACCTTTTATCATTGTTAAAAGAATCTAGAAAATCATACCACAAGTTCATGTTAATATGCCAGTGAGTACTAATGAATATCACAATGGTAGAACATAATAGTGTGGATTTCAAGCACCAAATTCATTTATCATGATCACATACTAGTTCTGGTGAAAGGAAAAATAAAGATATCTGACTTTTCTAACCCTATAAAATGCCACTGATTTTATTGTCCTTTAGTGAAAAAACACACTAATGGATACTTTGAAATAAATCTTTGTTCTTTTATTACTGCGTTATTGAACTGTGTGCTACTTATTATCCTGAAAGTAGTAGGCATAACACATTTTCTTTTAATAATACCAATACAATATTTCAATTTATTATTAAAATTACTTTATGTATCTATTATTTTATTGCTTTTCCTTTATTCTAAACTAACATTGAAGTTCTACTTTGTTTCTTGATTTTGTATTTATTTTCTTCTCATGTTTGACAATTAACTGAAGTTCTGCATTAGAGGTAGTGAATTATTAGGAGTGCCTGGGTGTCTCAATCGGTTAAGTGTCCGACTTCTGCTCAGGTCATGATCTCATGGTTTGTGAGTTTGAGCCATGTGTTGGGCTCTGTGCTGACAGCTCAGGGCCTGGAGCCTGCTTCATATTCTGTGTCTCTCTCTCTTTCTGCCCCTCTCCCGCTTATGCCCTGTCTCTCTCCCTCTTTCAAAAATAAATAAAAAAACACTAAAAAAAAAGTTGTTAATTATTAGAAGGCACAAAAAGTGAGGAATCTCTTTTCTCTCTTGGTTTCGCACACATTGCTGGTTTTATTTTTGCACTTCTGTTAGCTCTTGAGTCTTCTTGTTTGCCAACTCATCCTCTACTAATAATCTCTAGATTTTGGCAGTACCAGATTTAACCCTCTGCTCTTGTCTCCAGATGAACTCATCCAGCCTGAAGTAAGAGCTGTGAGATTCACAGATTTAACTCCAAGAGCTCTGGCCTCTAAGGCTTTGAATTTGAGCATCTCTCTCTTTTCTTTCTGGCTCTTCCCATGGTTGGTTCCTTTTAAGGTTATGATTTTGTTAGTAAGATATGCCCTGGCAGAGAGGACTTGCATGACCATTCCATCCAAAATAACTTTTCCACCCAATTTTTTTCTGTAAATTTGCACTAAGCAATTAGCTCTTGCCTGTGTTTACTGTTTTATTCTCTTCCCTGTAATTATGCTTCTTCATGGTAATTTCTTGGTTAGTTGGTTCACTTTTGCATACAGAGGACCTTGGATACTGTATATTCCCTAGTGGGTATTTCATGGACATTTACAATGGATAAGAAATTCCTTTATAAACAAAAACATATAACATTGCTAATTCTTAGCTAATTAGTGATAGAAGCTATAGTTATTATAACCCTGTATGTGGTAAGTTGCAATATTTGTTAGATAAACACATAAAAGATTAAAAATACATTTCAAGAAATAGAAATAGACATGTGCTGCTCCTGGACATGTCATGTCTTGAGCCTGTATCCAGTCAGGC